TAGGGAACATCTGCAGACTGAACAGAAAAAACTGCATTCCAAAATGTCATTTTGAAAACAGTATGAGTAGTCAATATGTACTACACAAAATCATTACAGAATAAAATCAGTGAGGTGGGAACATGATAGTGCTGTTTGTTTACCAGTGTACTGGTTTGTTTCGAATGACAGTACAAATTTCCTTAAAAAAAGAAAGTAAATTTAGCTTAGAGAAAAATAAGGAATACTGAATAATAAAAATAAGATTCTATATAAGGTGAAGAAGGTGGTAAAAAAAGCATAATCAATTCAGTTTGGAAGGCGCTAAGCCACTAGCTTCTAAAATAAGATATGACATTTTCTCCAGCTATATATAAACTTTCATATGTGCCTTCATATTCATTCAAATTTAAGTTCTTCTCTTGACGTGTTTAAATTTGCAGGTTTTAGAATAGTTTTGGGAATGTATATACCTTATAAAGTATTGGTATATTCAAATAAGTGTATTTTCTGTAAAGTTATCAGGTTTTATGCACATTGCAGGTTAAAATGCATCTTAACATACATCTTGAAAGGCTGAGCTTGCAAGAAATTGTTTAGAAAGTATCATTAAAAATTGCATAGCTCAAATGTCTCAAATACGTACCACCAGCAATCATTACGTAAATCACTGTTCTCTTGCCCTATAGCATCCAGCACAGGCCACCTGTGAATTAATATGCTAACTGATTGGGCAGCTTTATATCTGTATTTACCTTTATCTAGTTGCCACATGTATTTTCACCTCTTCAGTATAATGCCTCATCTTATGCCTTTGAAATCATCCTTTCAAATAATCTTGGGCCTCCTTTTTCTTTTAGAAGTTCCGAACAACTGATTGTAATCAATGGGATCTGATAGTTATTAACACATCTGAAAAATCAGGCATTTGCAGGATCCCCTGAGTCCATCTTCTTACACTGTGAAAGCCACTGCATAATGAACCTTACAATTATTGCAGCCATATGCTCTTTCACACTCATACCTGAGGACACAAGACACAATCTCAATCAAATTTGCCTTTTATTCCATAAAAGGAACCATACCTTCAGACTTCTCTAACACAGAGAGTTTACCTCTGCTAGCTTACTTCTGTAGAAGTCCCATTTTTAGCTGGACTCTAAAGCAGGGCACTGCCAAATATCACTTGGACATTGAAAATAATAGAAAGGGATAGACAATGAGGCCAAAACCTCAATCTTCAGCAGACTATGAACACAATTTCTACTAGTAGCTTAATGCTTCCTATGAAAAAGTTTTGGAAACTGAAAACAACATTCTCAATTTCCTCAGAAAAACTTGCAATGCCTTTCTCTAGAAACCTCATGACTTCGTGCTTTCAGTGATACAGACATTGCACCCTGGGGTTTGATGCAATAGGGTGGAAAAGTATGGAGGAGGAGGAAAGGTAAATAACGAGGTTCCAAAGAAGTCCATTTTGAATATACTATCATCAGTACTCTTGTTTCTGTTTTCTTCAGGCTTTTTTGGTACTCTTCTACCCAAATTAAATAGCATAAAATCTGAAGAAACCCTTCTGACCTACAGACTTGCTCCTGAATGATACTCCATGACAAATGACAAAGTAAATGAGAGCTTAAGTGACCAAAACGCACTACTTTTGTACTAACATTAGCCAGTTAAGATGTGACCAGCCAATAAATGCAAGGTGCATAACAGATAAATACAATGCTTATTTGGAGAAGGTTAAGTACAGCCTCCTCCCTGTGTGCCTGGGGACTGTCTTATCCAGTGCTGCTTCTGGATTTTTGTGCACTTTAGCTAGTTGGTGATCACCTCTCATCTCCTCTAACTCTCTGGAATCTTTAGAGGTTCAGGCTCCTCCATCAGGAAGAGCTTGAAGCAGTTCCATTTCGCTGAAAGTAAGGGATCTGGCACTGGTCCAGAGACTTCCACAAAAACTCAGAGGATTTGATCACTAGATTTTGTTTGACAGTCACCAAACTTTGCTCTTGTATGCAACACAACACCACACACTCCTGCCCACACAAACAGGAAGAACACTGATATCTCCTCCTAAGAAGAATCTATGATACTTAATTACCTTGATTACTTCCCTTGATAAAGTTTGAACTCAGGCATGACTATATTGGCCTTTCAACAGGAGCAGCAGGCTTAGTGTTTATTAACATTATGCTACGCTTCCACATTAATTTATGCATGCTTGCTAGGAGACATATTATGATTCTATAAGTATACTATTGAAGACCAGTGTGCTGGCAAATTGTGCGTGTACATCTTTTCCTACTTGCCCAAAGGCAGTTAGATTTCAATAATGAATGTAGCATCCATTCACCATTTTTCACTTATGCATTTTTTCTGCTAAAAAATTGCTGACAAACTCTAGGTCAGTTGACAAGCCCTATAAAAATACATGCTATTTTCCCATATGAGACAAAGTATACTTCTAATTAATTTTAATAGAATCTTTTGATATCATAATCCAAGCAGTCAGTACATGGAAACATATTTGGGAAGCGTATCCTCTTAATTGAGGCCATAGTGGCTATTTAACTGATGTTGAGTTATTTTGATAGTTCATCTTAAGACATAAAAACTCATCTGGTGATTGTCATCCTTTTTTTTATTTGCCAGCAATATGGACATAACTAGCAGAGCATTTCCCTTACTGTCTCTGACATACGCATATACAAACACATACAAATATATGACCATTTTGGATATTATCCCCTATGTGAGGGTTTTCCCTGAAGTTCTATTTTTATTTCCAGTAGAACATAATAGCTTTGGCTCACATTCCAGTGTGAAATAAAGGTACTGCATGGAAAAAATACCCCTTTAACTATTGTGGTATCCCAGAAGATACAGAACAGGTGGAAATGAATAAATCAGTCTCCTGTGCCTGACCCCAATTTCTTGCACACATAATGCCATTTTTTCGGTTAGCTAACCTGGCAGAGACCAAGGACACATGGTGCCGTGCTTCCTTCCTCTGAGAACTTTTCTGGGGAGAGCCATTATGCTACACATTCATCATCTCCTCTCAAGTCTGTGACAAATACTCATTGAAACTGTGCCTACTTAATTTTTCAACACAAAAGATCATTTCAAAAAAAAGAAAACAGGTGATAATTTTCATGGTGAAAATGGAATATAGAAATTATTCTGGTCAAACCAGATTGAGAGGGGTTTTTGCATTAAGAGTGGAGTACTGGGTATTCAAATAAGCAGAGTCCTACCACTGATTGACAAGAATGACTGATAATTAATTACAATGCGTCTAGTAAATGGGAGGACTATGATGTATCTTTCCAGAGATGTGCTGCATTCAGAACAGTACGTCATGACACTGTTTTCCCCTCATGACTGAGAATTCAGTTTTGTGAACCATCTCTGATGCCTAAGGTAAAAGTTTAGAAATGATTATTCCTGATCTCACACAGCAGCAGCCTTTATTTTTAAATGAAAACAGAAGTGCTCCAATTTTATTTTCACTGAACTTCCATTATGTTGAGAAGAGAGCTTTCAGAAAGCTTAACTTTGACAAATAAAAGGCTTGCCAACATAATAAAGAATACAGGACATCTAGTCAGATGGCATGTCAATCCTTCTATGACAAAGTTGGATCAACTATATTTAGGTGCTTCCTTGGTTACCTGTAGTACAATTTAAGCTCATTATTTCCTTGATCTTTCCCCCATGGATATAATAGCATACTGTTCCCCTTATTCTTCTTATTTCTACACTGTTCTTTACAGCATTCGTTTATGTTTCGAAACTGCTGCAAGTCTAAAGAGCTGCAATTCTTGCAATCTTTTTTCAGAAGTCCCATGCTAGAGAACCATGAGAATTTCCATTGCTCTCCTGACTCTCTCCAGCATGTCTGTCTGTACCTGCAGGACTGTGGTCAGATCTGGATATGTTCTGATTAAAGACTGACAATTCTAGTGTAAAGGGCAGGATTACTTACATGTCATTCTGTCTAGAAATC